TCAAATTTCACGTAGTGCTTTCTATTATGATATCATATTATTAGAAATAGAGATAATAAATTTTTTTTAAAAGATTACGTACTAATTTAAAAAATTTATTATCTGATGTATAATTTTCTTCCACTATATTTTTAAGTTCGTTTCCGTTTCAAATATAAATATATTTGATTTGATATAAATATGATTATTATTTTATATTCAAATCCAAATATATTTTTCATGAATTCCCAGCCGAAACCTTTTAACACTTTCACCCGGTGGCACAAACATACTCATTTTTTTTTTCCGTATACTTTTTATTATAAATGAATTTAGAAAAATAAAATTCTTTGTAAATGAAAAATTAATTTAATTGAGAATAGTTATTAAATTAAATTAGGGCGGGACTGTATATAACAATACTCTTTCTGTATCTATATAAAGACTATCGGATTTGTTCATTCTATCTGTGGGCGCCCGTAAGTACTGCAGAACCTTCTACGTAAAGGTGACGTAATAAAGATCGAATGGCCTAGAACTTCCACCATAAATCTACAACAATTCTTGACCAAAAAGAGAACGTGCATTGGGCTATATATACAAGCACCTGGCACTGCATGTTCATTATCACAACCAACTGAAAGTTTCATTTTTTGAAGAGCTCTGTTTTTAAAAAATGGCGGACGAGGTTGTTCTCTTGGATTTCTGGCCAAGTCCTTTTGGAATGAGAGTCAGAATCGCGTTGGCTGAGAAGGATATTCACTACGAGTACAAGGAAGAGGATCCAAGAAACAAAAGTCCCTTACTCCTGCAAGTGAACCCGGTTCACAAGAAAATCCCGGTTCTCATCCACAATGGTAAACCCATCTGCGAGTCTTTGATACAGGTTCAGTAGATAGATGAGGTGTGGAGTGACAAGGCTCCTCCTTTGCTTCCTTCTGATCCTTACCAGAGAGCTCAAGGCAGGTTCTGGGCTGACTATATTGACAAGAAGGTAAAGCCCTTTGCTCATTTCTAATTTCTGGTAAAACCCATCTGACTGGCTTGGTTTCTCACAAGCTTTGACTTGTATTTACAGGTGTATGAATGTGGGACGAGGGTTTGGACAGCAAAAGGGGAAGAACAGGAGGGAGCTGAGAAAGAGTTGATAGAAATCTTGGAGGTTTTGGAGGGAGAACTTTGGGAAAAGGCTTATTTTGGTGGGGAGAGTTTTGGGTATGTGGATTTGGCTTTCATCCCATTCTACAGTTGGTTCGGTGTGTATGAGAGTTTTGGGAAGATGAGTATAGAAGCAGAATGCCCTAAGTTGTTTAGTTGGGTGAAAAGGTGTTTGGAGAAGGAGTGTTTCAAAATCTCTGCCTGATCAAGATAAGGTATACGGCTTCGTTTTGGAACTCAGGAAGGCTCTTGGGATTTGACTTTTTTGAGAGACTTCAAAACCCTTGTTCCATTTCCATTAGGGTTCGTCCTCCAAGTATTGATTAAAAGAGGTTCTTGATCAACTACTGTAATTTTCTAGTCTTTTACTGTTGTTAAGGAATAAAGGAGGTCTCCTTTTGTGGATTTGGTGAGATGTCTATCAATGTTGTGGCGAGGATATATACGTCACGTCAATTTCTTGTGTGTACTAGACAAATTATCTTCGAGTAAAAAGTCTTCTTTCTTCCGTTACGATAGAAATTAATAGAGTCATAATGTATGTGTCTTAATTTTGATCCATATATATTTTATTGAATATTATATCTTTTATATATATAGATTTTCTATTCTAGTATAAGAAAAGAAATAAATAATTATTTGTAAATGATATAATATTATTTTTTTAATTTAAGTCATTTATTTGTTAATATTTTAATATTTTTATTTTTAAGTACTTTGATGTAAATATCATTATTATTATTTTAACATATGCACTGTATATTTTTTTTTGTCCTCTTTAATATAGAGATTCCTCTTTATCCAAAAACAAGAAAATAAGGTTGAAGATAAAAGCTTCTTAAATCCTGATTTGACATTATTGATTCTTCCACTGTTCTCAGTCAGCAAAATGAAAGATGAGGTGGATTTTTATCATCACCACTTTGAAAATTTCTTCTCCATTATCCCAAGCAACAGAAGAGTTTTACTGGTTTTTATCTTTCCTTTAGCTGTGATTTTTCTTGGTTTCGACAATGGCGGATGAGGTGGTTCTCCTGGATTTCTTGCCCAAGCCCTTTTGGCATGAGTACGAATCGCTTTGGCTGACAAGGCTTTGAAAAGAAGGAGAAGGAAACACAGAGAGATCAGGAATTAATTAGTGATTAATTGGATGGAACAAGTATACTTGTCTGTTTCTTTCAACGACGCCGTTTTGTCTATGGGGGTTGTGACTGGGCTTTTTGTTTTGGGCTGAGGCTTCGGGTTTTCTTTTAATTATTTGGGCTTACCTTACTAATACTTCCAATTCAATTTCAAAAAAAGTAGTTAATTATATCACCCATAATCACATAATTTTTATTTATTTATCAGAATAAATCCAAACACTAATGTTATGCACCCAAACACAAATGGAAAGTTTTCAACGAGAGCTTTCTAATCATATATATATATATATATATATATGTAAATGCAATTTGATAAAGCAATGAAATAATTGTAGAAAAATCATATAGAAATTATAAAAAAATTATCCAACTCTTATATATATATATACATATTATCTATTCATACAAGAAAATTAGTTAATATTAACACTCATTTTAGATTCTTATACCGGGAGGGTTTTCTTCAAAATTTATATAGGAAAGTAAATCTAGAATTTATGAAGTTGATATTTATAAAAGGTAATTTAAAGAAATTCAAGACTTTAACATGTAATTAATTCATCAATTTCCAATTTATTTACTATTTTTTATATGTTATATATACATATTTTTACAAGGCGTTCAAATTTCCGTTAGCTTGTACATGCTTATGATGATTGACTTTTGCGGAATACTAAAAGCTACAGTTGCATGACATCCCATAGCGATTGATAAAGATTTCCACCATCGATACAGTTGACTTTCGCATGACTATACTGCATTATACATATATACATATGTATGTATGTATATGTATGAGTTTGAAAGAAGAAATAGATGGATCCCCTTCTGCGTATTTTCACATACGATATCACTTTAAACCATATCTGATAAAAGATTCTATTCGCTCTCCAAACTATCAATCAAGCTTTCTCTCTCTCTCTCTCTCTCTCTCTCTCTCTCTTCTATTTAATTATTCCAGTGGATAGGAAAATGCATGGAAGCAAATCGATCAAACAGCTTTTTTCCCCTACAGAGATGCTGGGTGATGAAGAAGCTGAGTTTCAATATACTGTGCGGAAGCTTCTAGTGGGAGGCAAAATATGGTCAAAATTCCTTCTAATCTTCTATCGGTACGTAGTTACTTATTCGTGCATGGAATATAATGATAACAATGGTGGTGTTAGCTAAAGCCTAGAGATCCCACTCAAGAATATATATATATATATATATGTATATGTGGGTGTATGTGATCTCCACCTATAAATACATGTATAGTATACATACAGTTAGAACAGGAAGAAATGATTAAAGAGATTGAGAGTGGGCTTGAGCCAAGGATGACTTGCCAGGAATTTATCAAGTGACAGTATTGATTAATCGTTAAAAGGGTTATCTGGGAAGTCACCCTTGGTTCAATCTCGCTCTCTTTTCTCTCCTATATGTATGTGTATACGTACAAATATATGCATAATGTACGAGACTCGGGAGATATCTTTTCCAGATGTCATCTCAAACTTAATTTGATGGGTATGTTAATGATCATATTACAGCTTTTATAATTCTATAAATATTAGTTTTCATTTCACCACCTTCTATCGTTGATTTCTCAGTCTTTGCTTTATATACAGTTTTTGTGTGGGTTAAAATATATGCTGAGCATTTTTGGAATAGAAAGAAATGTAATAATTGCCCATTTTTTTTCGTTCGAATGGGTGTCTCGCTGATGTAGAAATATATAAATCTACATATGTTACGCATATAAAATTTTATACCAATTACCTCTTCTATTTAACTACTTTCAAATTTAAATTTTTAAAAAAAAATAGTAAATATTAAAAATAATAATTTATAAATTACAAATATAATAATATATATTTCTTTTTAATTTTTCTAAATAGTTCATATATTAACTTAATTATAATTTATATATTTAGAATTTTAGGAGTTATGTTAATACTTATATATATATATATTCATATACTTAAACATTTATAAAGACTAACATAAATTAAAAATAGTCTTTTTACTAGTTTCTCTTTCTTTTTCTTTCAATTTTTTAATAAAATATTACTTACAAGTAATCGTAACTCTTAAATAAAATTTAATAATAAAACATTTAAATAATTTAATCAACAAAATTTAGCCAATGCCTAAATATATATGCACCGTAGTCAATGGGTTACTAACAAAATTTTATAATAATCATTTTTTTTATTTTTTATTATCACAATTAATTCACATATCCAAAATTAATAAAGACGTAACCAAATTGAAAGCGGATGGAAAATTGACAATGAATTTGGCAATCAATATATATATATATATATATAATATGTATGTGTATATATATCGGTTGTAGTTCATCCTAATTCATTGAACAATTATTTATGTAAGCACGCAATGACAGAAAATAATATGTACATATATATATATATATATCACACGCATAGTTCCTGGATAATAACGTAATCACATCTTTCTTTTTCTTAAAAAAGAAAAAAATGGAGATATGTGATAGACATAAGTGTATTAGTGCTTACTGTAAATAACCCCGTCACCTTCAATAACACATTTACAGTAAGCATGGCCTGATAGAGATCAATCAAACCTGCTCATTAATATTAAAGTTAATGAGACGAAAGAGAGAGAGAGAGAGAGATGATAGAAAAGTTATCTGTACGCACTTAGGGAAGTGTGGCCTGCAGCCATGAATATCACATTCAATGCTTCTCCACCCACCTCAACTATAACCCTATTATTAAAACGACATCACCCACCACCACCATCGCCAAAACCTTGTGTACAACAAAACTGCACATCAACTGTATGTATACGTGTATATGTGAGAGATCATAAAAGGTAAGGTGATAGATCACATGGAGAAGAGAGAAAAAGGTAGTGTTGTTGGGAGCTCGCCAATTGCTTTGATGGGTTCAGGCGGCGTCGAGACGGAGGAGGTGAGTGGTGGGTTGCGCAGTGCGGAGACGATGCTGAGGTTGGTGCCTGTGGCTCTATGTGTTTCTGCGCTGGTTGTCATGCTTAAGAGCTCTGAGAGTAGTGATTTTGGGTCGGTTTCATACTCTGACCTTGGCGCTTTCAGGTTGTTTTCTTATTAATGGATGATATTATTCGTTGATTTAATTGAATTTATACTGTTCATGGATGTTTACTCTTAATTTCTTGTTTTTCATGGTTGGTTTTGTTTTATATGGAACTTGAATAAACCCCAATTCATTAATTTATTTACATGATCAAACCATCGACTGAAAATTATTACCCAAAAAGGAAAGGGTATGAATTAAATCAGAAATCGGACCATCAAGATTTTTCTTATCTTTTCAAAATAGGTGAAGGTTTAATTGCCTTTAATTTAAAGTCAAGTTTTAATTTGATTAGGGATAGATCATATCTACCTGTGCCTTTGTTGCAAGATCTATAATTTTTTATCACTGAGCTTTAACTAGAAGTATGAACCCTAATGTTAATTCATTATTTCCTCAAGTGCCCTAAATTACACACAATTTTGAAATAGTAGTTTTTGCTTACCACAAAGATTATTACCTAATAAGATCTTTGAAATTTATTAATCCTTTTTCTTATATACATAAACTAATTCTTATTTATTTTTATCCTTTGACATGAAAATAAGACTCAAACTTAAAGAACAACCCATAAAATAGAATATCATACCACTTGAAGTACATATTCTTTGTCAATTGATTATAACAATTCAGTTGATAGCAAATTTTCCTACTTAATTAGATTTCAGAACTACCATAGCAAGAATTGAAGATACACTATGATATTGAGGACAAATACTTACAGGAGTTTGATTTACTAAAATTTTGAATTGATGAGTTATTGAACCTTATAATCACATATATCCTGCTGGGTCCGAACCATAATTGGAGAATCAGGATCTAAATTGATTGTTTTGGGTATACCCAGCTGAAGAATCAATCAGCTTTTGGATACATCAAATTGAAAAAAAAAAATGTTAATTATCAAATCATGAAATGAATTTGATCAGTGGTTGAGTTCAATTTGGTCCGATTAAAATTAAATGATCCAATTTGCTTTTTTATATTTTGACAAATTTCAGTATTAGTATGCAGGTATTTAGTTCATGCAAATGGCATATGCGCAGGCTACTCCCTTCTCTCAGCTATCATCGCAGCCATGCCTCGCCCTCCCACCATGCCCCGAGCCTGGACTCTCTTCTTCCTTGATCAGGTTAACAAATTTCTCCAGCGTTAATTTACACCAAGAATTTGAGCATTCATGAACTGACTACTTTGTGTCTACACGCGCCTGTGTGTACAGGTGCTAACGTATGTAATTCTGGGTGCGGGAGCAGTGGCAACAGAGGTGGTGTACCTGGCTCACAAGGGTGACACGGCCATAGCCTGGAGTGAAGCCTGTGGTACTTTCGGTGGGTTCTGCCACAAGGCTACGGCGTCGGTCATCATCACCTTTGTGGTTGTTGCTTTCTACGCCGTGCTTTCCCTAATTTCATCCTACAAGCTTTTCAGCAAATTCGATGCGCCCATGGCCACACCCATCAAGGGTTTGGAAGTTACCACCTTTGGAGCTTGACTTCTACTTACCCTACTATATTACCTACTCATCATCTTTCACCACCCTGATGTAATAATAAAGTAAAAGACTAGGTCTAGTTTAATTTGTGTTTTAACAGGTGTGCTTTTAATTTGTATCTTGTATGATTAAATGCTACTAAATACATGCATGTGTTTGTACTTTCGTGTTTTTTGACCTTGTACGTACATGTATCAGTTTGATTTAATGTGTCTTGGATAACTAAGTTTCTTATTTGGTCCCTACTAAACTAAATTTGTTGATCCATTTATATACAACAACTCTAGATTAATTGTAACAGGTTGGATTTATACAGCCAGTTGTGTCAGCCTGCCCACATTTAACATACGTTCCTACGGACGCCTTTGACTCATTCAGACTGTAATTTAATGTCTTTGGATTCCAAAATGTAGTTGATAAGACCACAAGTCAACTTAAAGAAGACTAGATTGTCATTTTGGTAATTCAACTAACTTTCCCAGCACAAAATGTTTGAATTCTAAACCGACGAAAAGTCATATACACAAACTAGAGTCACAAAAGATACATATGATGATTTCTGTAATTTAACTGTTGCTTAAACCTTCTGCAATCACATGCTTGCTTTATAGTAAGCTTCTGTTCTCAGCGTGCTTCGTACTGAATAACTGCACAAAAGGAAATCCATCATTCCAAGTATTACAACAAACTAAAATTTTGATGATCACATGATGCAGTAACCATTTAAGTTCTCTAAATCGGAAGAGAACACAGATATACATTATACCAAACTCTAATCTTTACGTGAATTATTATAGATTTCTCATGAAACAAAGATAAAGATGATGCTGATATCCACGTGTGGAAATGAAATGAATTTTTTTTAATTAATCCTGAAGATTTATTGAACTAGCATCCAGAAAAGACCTATTAATCAAAAGTCTTAACAAATTCAAGGACACATTTAAACACGTAAATCAAGCAAAGACCAGAAATATCTCCCAAGTAAACCCATTAGCATACTGTTTAACCAAATTAATCCTTAAACCGAAGATTCCAATGACTTGTGCCCTCTACCAAGGCTCATTAGAAATTAAATGTAGGTACACATCCAGATTCTGATCAGCTTCCTCGATGTTCAGAAGGCAAAGAAAAGGCAGCAGTGGAGAAGGAAAAGTTGCAAGGCAAAACCTCTGAAACCTCTGCCCTCATATGATTTCCTTTAAAGAAGAAAATCTTCACTGCTAACTCTTCCACAAATTTCCACTGCCTACTAATTTCAATCAGATTCATAAACTTCCTTCATTGAAAGACTGAATAAAGATCAAGCCACAATATTCATCTTGCCTTTGTTCTCATTGCTCCCTTGGTAAGTTGGGAATACAAGCCTACCCAATTTTACTTCCCTGCTGACAACTTTAACTGACGGCCCCAAGGAAAGATCTTTACTAGCTTATTACATGGAATATCCATAAAATACATTCCTTCCAAAAGGACAAGCTAACCTAACAACTACCCTGTCACTAGCAGTTAGCTATAAAGATTTACTCAGTTCCTTAAAGTCCAGCACCAAAAGGACAATCTTTGACAAGCAAAAATTGAGGCTAAGAGAGCCATCACTTTCTTCAAAGAATCTTCTCATCCTTGCTAGACAGTTGCATATATGAAATATGACAAAGTGAACTTTATTCGATGGAATAATTACTTTTTCAAAAAAGTGAGATAGTCATTAAGAGAGGAGGGACATTTTCGTTCCTTTGAATTCCTCGTCTCTCAAACCTCCCGTTTACTAACTGAACAACTTAGAATGAACTCTCTATAAAATTCTGCTGTAGAAGGTGGATAAAAGTGGGGTTTTCTCTGTTAAATCTTAGTACAAGCATTTAACTAACAGAAACACTGTCATGAACTTATTACTCCCTTCTAGACAGATTTGGAAGGCTAATGTCCCTCCTAGAGTTGCTTTTTTTGCATGGGAAGCAAGTAGAGAATGCATATTGACAATTGATAACTTAATTGCTCGGGGGCTGTTTATTCCCAACAGACGTTATTTATGTATGGCTGATGCAGAAATTTGCAGGCATGTTTTGTTGCGGTGTCCGATGGCGTTTGGTTTATGGAGCACCATTTATAGGTTGATTCTTTGGAATGAAAGAAATTCTAGAGCTTTCGAGGATAAACCTACTGATTTGTATAGGTTGAGTGATAGTTGAATGCATTATTTTTTGTTTTTGTTATTACGGCATGACATGATTAGTGATGTGGATTTTGGGCATGTCATAAATTCACTAACTATATTGTAAAATTTTATGTATAGGGGCGGTACCCCCGGTTTTATGGTACAATGATAATATATAGTTCATACTTTTTATTTTAAAAAAAATATCTCTGCTGTAGATGTTCAAGAACCACCTTGACCATCTGTCCAACCTAGCCAGCCTCTGTTGCTACCTTAGCTGCAACAATTTTCAAAATGACTTGGCATCATTTGCAAGCAGGATAATCACACATATATGGATGGGGAAGAGAAGGCAATCAGAAAAAAAAACAAGCAAGGGAAAGAATTCGAGGGCCAACACCTCTTCAAGAGAAGGCTTACCTAACCCTTGTCAATGTAGATGGTTATTAGAGAGAATTATAGCAATCTCACTCAGGTGCTCAATAGAGATAAAAGTTGTGACCTTAGAAAATCAGCTAGTAGAACTGAAAAGGATGGTGCAATGGTTGGTCAACCACACGACACCAACTTAGTTGAAAGAAAGAAAAAAAAATGGAGGTCATAAAATAGTCCGGTGGCTTTTCAAGAACACTTAAGAGTCGTGGTACTCCTAGTTTTAGAATGTCAACCATTCCATTGCAACTGAAATTTATTCTTTTCATCCTATGCCATAAAGAACAAGATTCCAACAGAAAGTACAATAAACATTTGGCCAAAAAAGACATATTTAAACATGGATTCTCAAAAAACCATATTGCCTTCATGTTTGGAGGTAAGCAGAACTCATCTAATCTTGAAACTTCACCAGCTCCAGACCATAAAAGTTTTGTTATAGTGCTCTCAAATTTCTTAGCCACTCCACTTGGATCCTAAACAAAGAGAGATAATAGAATAGGACAACCAAATACAAGAAGGATCCAAATCGCGAATTATGACAGAGCTGGGAAGGAAAACAACAGGAAAGGATTTGACTTCAGCTACCTAGGTCAAACCTTACTACTGCTTACTATGTATGGTAAGGAAGGGCCATTAATACATCCTTCCATTTAGGTACCCACCTAACAACCAACCTGGTCCAAGTGGGTAACCAGACTGCACTTTTAGTTGACTACCAGAGTTACCCAGCTACTAATTCTCTATAGGCATGCACTGAAGCTGGACACAGTCGCTACTATCTTCAAAGGATCTTCTTGCCTCACTCAGAAGCTGCCTCTATTAAACATCCGCTGTTAACTCCATCCAACAGAGTAGTCACTACTTCTGATTAAAGGTCTGGACACAACCACGCAAATATTATTATATAAATTGATTTTCACTCTCAAAACTCACCCTCTCACTGACTGGAACCTGAGAGCAACCTCCCTAAAAAACCTCAAGTTCTTCCATAGTGTTATAGACATAAATTTCAGCAAGAGAGCAACCTCCCTAAAAGAGCTCAAGTTCATCCATAGTGTTATAAGCGTAAATTTCAGCATCGCTACGTTGAAATGATCATCGTATATAGTAGTTTTTATGCAAAAATTATATATGGTACATAGGAAAGCAAATAGTCACTAGTAAACTAAAAAAAAAAAAGAAAATCTAATCGGAACATATAGAAAACTATTTACAAACATGTCCTTGAAACTTATAAAACACGGAGAGAGAACAGCTTATGCATGTGCTTACATATGAAAGATCAATTTAAGAACCAGAGAGCTTTAAAACATAAATGATGTAAACAAAGAACCAAAAAATTAAATTAATCAATTATAGAAATATACTCACTTCTACGGGTCCGCTTCTTGTACAGAATGCGGTAACCACATTCCCTGCATTGTATAACATCACCAGGCTTCAAAGTGCTCTCTTGCCCGCAATCTACAGAGTAACTCAAGCCAATAAAAAAATTCACAATTAAAAAGGACAAACGCAATATTATATACAAAACCTTAGCCGATACAGTCATGTGATTTCTTTACGTTAAATCACCATAAAAGACGTAAAAGATCAAATTTAGCGTATCAAGATTCTCCAACACTCTTCCTTAATTCTCTTAGTTGTGCCAAAATAATCGAAAACAATAAACAAACGATATCGATTTCAGCTTCGTTGATTTAAACTTGTAGTGTTTTTTATTTTATGAACAGTACCTCCACAGATATAGCTCACAGGCTCTGGCTGCGGATCCATTGATCAGATATTACTTGGACAGAGCTATACAACGGAACAAAGAATAAAGTAAGAACAAAACTGAGATGATGTCTTTGGTTCAAGAAATCGATTAAAACACACAATAAGATTGGACCAATACTTTGCAGAAGCGGGACTGAAATAAGGAGAGACTTGCGAGAATGATCGGAGAACGGGAGAGAAATAAAAAGCTTACAGGGGTTAGGGTTTTTGAAGTAATATTAATATGCGCGCGAGATGGGATAAGAAAGCGTGCAGGTTATTATTGAATTTTATAAGCTGTTGACATCATAGGAAAATACTTTGACCGCCGACTAGGAGCATTATTATATTAAAATAATAATATCAATATAATAGTAATTAATAAAATAAATTATTAAATTAATTTTAAAAAATTTATTATCTATTATAATTTGATATTTAATATTTTTTATAATAATGTATTTTTTAATTAAAAATGTAACATAATTAACTCATATTTCAATATATTAAGAAACAAGTTAAAAATAATTTTAATTAATAAATTAAGAATAATAATAAATATATTCTTAATAATTAATTAATTAATATTAAATTATTTTAAAAATAAAATAAATAAATAATATAAGCAATGAAATTATAATGCAAATGTAACGGCCCCGTAATTTTAAAGAAAAATGTATATATATAAGAAAAATTCTAACTGTGGAAGCGGAATAAAAATTTTTCTTTAATATCCCTTACACAATAATCCAAACGTACTAAACGTATAAAAGAATAAACTAAATAAAGTAAATACTAGATATGAATGTTATAAATAAAATTATGAAATCTTTAGACATCTACTCGTCATCTTCCTGCGGGACGGGCTCGGGAACCAAGTCTTCCTGATATGAAATGGTTAAGTAAGGAATGAGCTACACTAGCTCAGTAAAGATATCACACTATCTCACTGTCACAGAAGTAAAAGTTGGTAGAAAACAAAAACGACCAATAGAGCATAATTTATAACAAACTCATTTATCAATAATTAAAAAAAAAACTTTTACTGTCCACTTACCTCGGTGAGATTTATGAAAATAACTTATGAGGAACAATAACATCATAAACATCATAAGATCATGCACACTCTGTAACATAACACATATCGTACTTTTGTATTTCAATCATCAGGCAACAAATATCCTCTTTTATCAGCCTACTAGTATCCATGGGGATCCAAAGAGGGTCTCCGCTATACGTGAACCATTCACATTAATAACTTAATTCTAGGCCCGTGCCCATACTCCGTCTAGTATGGACACCAAAACCATAAATTTCAATATCCTGTTTGGTATGAGGGTGAAACGGGTCGTCCCCATATCTCGTCCGGTATGGGCGCCAAAATACATAAAATCTCCATACCCCGTCCGATATGAGAGACCACGTTCCCGGTAGGGTTCCCTATGGACCCTGTCCATCCACTATCTCCCAGGATATCTAGTTAGGCTGCCAACATTATCTATTTATCAATTCACATACTTTTTTTCATTTTTCTTAATCTCAATTATTCAATCAAACATAAATACGTAAACCAGTAATGGACACCAAACAAGGCAACACAACATCGGGTTCACAATAATTCAAACCATAATAAATGAAACCGTGATTCATGCATACGAAACCATAGAATAAACACATCAAACACCATACTACATTCAAAACTGTAAAATAAATCAAACAAGAACATACCGACAAATACATCAGATTCGGGCTACATTAGCAACCTTAATTAATTATACATATCTATTAATTCATAGCATACCATTTTATCATTTATTAAGCTTTAATGCCGTAATAGAAAATAGGGTGAGAGATCTTTACTTGTTTCGGAGTCTGAAATCGGGTTCTAACTGCGAATACAGGCAGTCCCTATATTTCGTGAATTTTTTCTCCAAAAACTCAAACACACTTCCGGTACCTGCAAATGTCCCCAAAAAACTCCAAATCAGACCCAGGGCCTTTTCGACCAATTTCGAAATTCTGGCACGGCGGCTCCGCCGTGCTCCGGTGAAGGCGCCGCCGCTTCGGGTCGACCGTTTCTGGCCGAATTCGACCAAACTTGCATTGGTTCCTGTGATAAAACACTCCTAGAGCCCTCGGTGGGCCAAAAAATTATAGAAAACCAAGACTTACTGGCGGCGGAGCTCTCGGGTGTGGCGGCTCCTCTGGTGCGAGTCGCGATTTGGTGTTTTTCTCCGGTCAACCTGTAGAGAAAAGGACGGTAGTTACAGTGGTATAAAATATACATCGAACAAGAACCGAGAAAGGCCTCATCGGAGGTAAAAATTGAGGAAACCTGCGGCGGTGCCGCTGGACTTCGGCGGTATTTTCAGGCCAATTGACCGGTGGTTTAGCTCCGATTTGGCAACATGGAGGTTCAACATCGAAAAACAAGCCAATGAGAGAAATTTTACCTCGTTTGGCGGCCGAAAAATCCTCTAGTGCGACGGTGGGTAGCGGCGGCTGGTTCCTCCGGTGGCTAGGTCGTCTTCTCCAGCGAGGGTTC